TACTGTGCAAATACCACATGTCAGGCACCACTTGGTTTGTCAAGGAGACCATAGTCCCATGGGAGGACAGACATTGAACAATGATGCATTGCATGGAAAGGGAAGTACAAGGCGCTAAAAGAACATAGACCAGGGTCTATGGACCATTACTCCGAATGTTTTCTGAGGGGGGAGCGAGTGGAGAGGAAATTAGGAGAATAATGAGGAAGAAGTCTAGAATGACTCCAGGTTAGGGAGATGGGTGTGATCTGGGCAGAGATTAGAGACACTGGTGACTAAAATCCGTGACAACTTCCCTTCCTAATACACCAATATGGGGGGTAAAGCAAACTCTTGGTCATTTGTATATTCTACTTTGTTCCAAAATGTTGGAGCAAGCAGCTTGCAAAGATACATTAAAAAAAAATACAAGAAAACAGATTCAAAGAACAGGGAGGAAAAAAAAAGTACTGATGCAGACTCTAGCCAGGAATGAGAATAAAAGCACATGCTGGTGTGACCTAAATTCTTGCTACAGATGGGGCACAAATTTTACTCGAAACTTCTCAGCAGCCAATGTAGAAAGATTTCATGTTTCCATGTCCAATGATACAATTCACAAGGTCAATGAAAGAAGAATTGTTAATAAGAAAGCAGTTGAGAGCAAAATCCTCCAGTATAAACAATTCAATGTGGAAGCTGATACAATGTTCTGTGCTAAATCTCTCCTTATCTGGCTTGGCCCCAATGTCTTCATACTTGCCATTTATGACTGTTTTTTCTTCATCAGAGCCTACAGCACAGCTGATGGTTTCTTTAATCTGAATATAGATGTAACTGCTGTAACTGAGATGGATCCTCCTTACTTTTGCTACCTTTCGAGAGTATTATTCAGTTCTGTTTTTAACATTTTGGTTTCTTCCTTGTTAGTCATTTGGGAATAAGCCCATTTATAAAATTGTTCCACTGAGAAATAAATTTTTGAATAATGCGTTTTAAATAAAGCTCTGACAACCGATGGTCATTGGTGCCAATTCAACATCAACAGGAATCCCCAATTTGGGGTGTGATGAAGAAGTAAACTTTATTCAGTGCAAACCGCTCAACAGTGCTGCGTCATGGTTGTGAAAACAGCATGGCTGTTGAAGAGCTCTGGGGCCAGGCAGCCCTGAGGCCAGGCCCCTTTCGGGATGTGCAGCTCTGCTCAGCTCCGTCCTGCTCTGCTCCGCCCCGCCATGGCCCATGGTGCTCCTGCAGGTGGCTCTGCTCCAGCAAGACCGCTTTGGTGTTTCAACTCTTGCCAGGGAAACGCAGCCTTAAGTCTTCCGTAGAAAGTGTGCTCCCTAAGCCCGAGTGGAGCTGGCTTAGTTGGGCAGAAGTCCCTGTCTCTGGTCCCTGATTGGTCCATCCTCATGCAAATGAAGACTCTAAATCTCAATTTGATTGGTCCAAAGGCACTGTCCTGATTGATCCGCTCTGATTGGTCAGAGCTGCACAGCTCTGATTGGATGAGAAAAACCTCAATCTTATTGGCTGGAATAAGATTCAGGCACCTCTCTAAGGATTGGCACAGCTGGCAGGAGTACAGCGCAGGCCGGCAGTTCAGTGCAGTGGCAGGCAGTTTCAGTGCAGGCTTCTCCCTGAAGTGCAGTTTGAGTACGAGGCCCCTGTGCAAAAATGGCAGCTAAGCTCTGTGTTGTTGTTTTTAATTTGAGCCCAGTTAGCCGGCAGGAGTCCTTCTTAGTGGGTCTTTTTTCTCTCTCAAGGTTTACAGCTCCTTATTGCTGCTATGTAACTTAAATGATGATCTTATTGAAACTAACCCTTACTGTATAGAAGTCTATTCTCCTTTCTCTTCATATACTTAAATCATGCTGACTTGAGATAATAGTTTTGATCAACTTTGCTTTAATATATTTTTCTTTTTTAATTTTATTTTTCACTTACAGTTGCTGTTCAGCGTTGTTTTGTATTGGTTTCCGGTGGATAGCGTGTTGGTTAGACAATCATATACTTGACAAAGTGGTCCCTCTGATATTTCAAATACACACCTGGCACCACACATAGTTTTTAACACATTTTTCTTTTTCTCTGGATGATGCCAAGCATTTGTGTGAGATTATGTATTTTCAATTAATGGTTTTGGTGTCATGTAGATTCACACTCAGGATCTCCCTGACTTAGTTCTGCGCCTGTGTATGTTACTCAACCTCCTTCCTGAGCCTTACATATCTCACCTCTTAGATAAAAATGGCTAAAACACCTATCTCATAATGTGGTTGTGAGAACTAAAAAAAAAAAAAAAAAAAAAAAAAAAGTGTATAAAGAGCCTTTATGTAGGACATTATGTGTAAATGAGAACAATACACAACCCTGTCCAGCAAGGTCATGTCAAGGATTAAAAGAGTACATACAGGGTGGGGCAAAAGAAGGCTTGTAGTTATTTTATGGAAAATAATACAATATTTAATAAATAATAATACAAGAATAAACTCTGTTTTGCATACTCACAACTGTTGTAAACCTACTTTTGCTCCTTTCTTTATAAAGAGCCAATCAGGTAGGGAAGAAAGGTTTGGATGATGTTATCCTTCATCAAGGGTATGAGGAGGTACGTGCCCTAGCACACGGCTGACAGGAGCATCCGCTGGTAGGCACTTTAGACAAATTGGCAATATCTATTAAAACTTAAAAATATCCACATCCTATAAGCAGCAATTCAACTTCTCAGTTCCTACCATAATCATTGTATATTAGCATGAAGAGGGATGCACAAACATGCATATTACAGCACTATTGTAATAAATTAGCAAAACCTGGAAATTACCTAAATGTCCATCAATGCAGGAAGAGGTATGTAAGTTTTGGTGTATCTATTCTATGAAACAATTTAAAAGACTGAGGTATGTTTCTATGTAGAGCATAAAAAGAGCTCCAAGAGCCCTAGCCAGTTTGGCTCAGTGGATAGAGCATCGGCCTACAGACTGAAGTACTGGGTTCAATTCCAGTCAAGGGCACGTACCCTATTTGCAGGCTCCCAGAGGCAACCAATCATTGTATCTCTCTCACACTGATGTTTCTCTCTCTGTATGTCTCTCCCTCTCCCTCCCACTCTCTCTCAAAATCAGCAAAAAAATATCCTCAGGTAAGATTTAAAAAAAAAAAAAAAAAGAGCTCCAAGAAATAGTATTAATTTTTTTAAAACAAGGTATAAAATGAATATTCAGTACAATACCATTATGTAAATACACATACAGCCACATAAAGCAGTATTAAATATTCTCAATTTAAACATATGTAAATATTTATATACAAAAAATATGTCAATTTACATACCAATATAAATAATTGTTACCTCTTGGGGAGTTCAGATTGAAATTGAGGGTTATGGTCAAAAGATAAATTTTCTTATCTATATGTTTTAATTTTTTAACAATGAAGGTGTGCAGATGTTAAAGAATTAAAATAGAATTTCTTTTAAATCACTGGACAAGTGCCTGGCATAAAAATCTCTAAATCACTTGTCAAGTGAATTTGGATTTTTTATTCATTGATTAAACAAATATTTATTAAGCATACAGTTTGCTCCAGTCATGTCCTATGTTTTGGGGAAGGAATAGAAAGCAGTTTAGAGAAAGATGTTAACAACTTAGGGAGAAGACAGATAGCTACACAAGAAAAAATAATAACATTTCATAACTTATCATAGGTGTTGATAGGTTAAATAGAGGATGGCATAGGAACATATTGGAGTAACTCTTATCCAAGTGTTCAGAGCACAAATCAAATAACAGCATGAATTGAAAAAAAGATTGAGACAGAATAGTTTATAGCTAAAGTTGATATGACTTAGGGATGGCTGTCACAACTCACCAGGATTTATATACACATTAAAGAAGCAGAACTTCAGAAACGTTCAAGAACCACCCTATAGAATAGAATCAGACCACTTAAAATTCACATTCAGTTCTGCTGCAAACTCTTGCAACTTGGTTATCCTACCTCAGTTCATGACCTTTCTCAGATTGTGGGCCCTTTCTTCTAAGATAGTGCATGAAGATGAAGGCAAGGATGTCAGAATCATGGGACTCAAATTCCAGGGATACAGCAGACAGAATCCAAGTCTAACATATAAAGTGGAAGTCAATTGGAGGTCAGGAGGAGAGTAAATGAGTCAAATATCCATACAAGGTTGAGAGTGAAAACTGGTCGAGAAAACAGATATGGAATCAAAGCTTCTAAGGGAATTGTCTCTTTTTTGACCCTATGCTTTCAACCAGGTGGTAACACCCAGTCACCAGGAGGCTCAGCCATGAAAATTAACCTCATGGCCCTCTATCCTTTAGGTCTTCTCACTTGCTTTTATTTCTGCTCTTTTCTCACTGTGACTTTACAACTTTGGATCTGTTGGGTTTGGTTTCTATTTCTGGCCCCAGGAGACTTGATTCCAGAGGTGTGATCCTTGGCTCTTCTCCCACATGTTTGCAGGTACTCTATTGCTCTCCTGGCTCTGAGTAACCATTGCTGAACCCAACTCACTTAGGGTTCTCGGGTTTTTAATCCAGAGTCAGCCTTCCTGGTCAGCATCAACCCTTGAATAAGTAGGAATCATGGCAAGGGAAACTTAAAATTTGTCCCAAGTGGTGAATGGATTGATATGAGTAGTGTTATATTATAAAGCAGTCTCTATTGAATGTTTGTGGTCCTGGGGCCATGTCCTAATTGGCTCTAAGGCATGATATCCTGAACCTACCATCTGGTGCCATAAAGCTAAAGAATGTCATGAAAAAGCATATTTATTTTCTGTTGCAGATGACCAAGATTAAAACTCTATAGATCCATGGCAAGAAGAGTAAAGGCAAGAAAACAAACTTTTGTTGAGCCTAATTATATAGTAGGAATATAGGTTAGGGGTCTTATTTGAAATAGCTTCTTTAATTTATTGTTCAGATTCTGTGAGTCATTATTATGTCTATACACATATACATGTAGAAAAATTTAAGATTTTTTAACTCAAGTAACTATAAGACCCATAAAAGACATTTGCTTCTTCTTCTTTTGAGATTTTTCAATGCATTTTTGATCTCCTTGTTTCGCAAACTATATATGATAGGATTCAGCATGGGAATCACAACTCCATAGAAGATGGACACCACCTTATCTCGGTCCTGAGAGTATCCAGCACTAGAATGGAGATATGAGAAGAGACCAGAGCCATAGAAAAGAATTACTGTGGTCATATGAGAGGCACAGGTGTTGAAAGCCTTTGTCCGCCCTTGGGTTGAATGGATGTTCATAACAGCAGCAATGATATAGCCATAGGAAACCAGGACAACAAGGGCTGATGTCCCACCAACTGCACACACAACCAGAAAGTTCACCACCTGGCTGAGGAAGGTACTGGAACAAGACAAGACCAGCAGGGGTGGTAGGTCACAGAAAAAGTGGTTCATGACTCGCGACCCACAGAAATGAAGCTGAAATATGGAACTAGTTTGGACCAATCCAGTGAGGAATCCTCCAGCGTATGCTGTAATGGCCATCCCCACACAGGTGGTGGGTGACATGAGGACAGTGTAGAGCAGAGGGTTGGAGATGGCAGCATACCGGTCATATGCCATGGCTGCCAGGAGACAGCACTCAGTGCCTCCCATCCCAACAAAGAAGAAAAACTGGGCAGCACAACCCACAAAGGAGATGGTCTTCTGCTCCTTGAAGAAGTCACAGAGCATCTTAGGGGCTACAGAAGAGGTGTATGAGATATCAACAAAGGACAGGTTACCAAGGAAGAAATACATAGGGGAGTGGAGGTGCGACTCCATCCTGATCAGGACAATGAGACCCAGGTTCCAAGCCAGAGTCATGAAATAGATCCCCAGGAACAACACAAAGAGGAAAACCTGCATCTCTGCATGCTCTGAAAATCCCAACAGGATGAAATCGGTCATTGTGCTGATATTCCTTCCCATAGCCATGTATCTTCTTTCTGCTGCCTTCAGAGCCCCATAGGGGGATTCCTGTGGCAATGAAAGTCCAAGTGAAGAAACCATTTCATTCTGTCATGGAATCATAAACTCTCAAGGTCAGAAGAAACTGGAATGCAAATGTCCTACCTCTCTTTGACGCAAAATTCCCCTCTGCAACATTTATTGGGTCTTCCATAGAGTTCATGATCATCCTTATCTGATGCCTTTCTTTATGAAAAAGTGACATGCCCCAGAATAGACTGGCATTTTTGCATTATCTGCATCATCACCTTCACTGTAAATGTTACCACTATACCAAAGGCACTGTACCAAAGGCACTATACCAAAAGAGGTATTTTGGCTACATTGACCAAATATCCCCCCTTTTTTTTCAGTTGCTCCAAGCATTGCAGTTGACTTACTGAGGCACTTGAATTTATCTTAGGTACTCTTTTTTAAAAAAGAAAATAAGTATGTCAAGACTTTAAGTGCCCAAAGAGGCAACGTTGTGGTTTTTGTCATAGTTTTTCTGTATGGGGTCACGGTGTTCTTTGTTTTTAAGCAATAGAGTGAAGCACTTAGAGGTATGAAAAGCTGACATCCCCTTTAAAGATTAAAGAAAGAGGTAAAAAAAAAAAAAAAAAAAAAAACCTCAACACTGAAATGCTAATGCTCATTTTGCATGAACATTATCAATGATCAAACACCTTGCACCATGTGTTTATAGAGCTAAATGAGGATGATAGGGAAAGTAATAAAACATGACTATTAAGTTCAAGATGGTCCTTATAATGCATGGGACAGACAGGAAACAGATTATTCACAGCAGTGGGATAGGGCACGTGGGACCCTGGACACAGAAGGTGGAGTCCTCAATGAGAAGACGTGTTGGAGGAGGATTCCAACGATGAGTACGGCATCACCAGGATGAAAATTTGGTGTATGAGGGGTTGGGAGGGGGTCGGTTCAGAGAGCTTTACATCAAAGATGTAAGAAGCTCAGAAGAGTACAGTGTTTGTGGAGCCTTAAACATGTCAGCATGGTGGGAGCACAGGGTAAATAGTGTTAAGAGAAGAAAATAGCAGTCTAGTTTTGAGAGACAGTGGGAGGTGGACAAATTGTGAAAGATCTCCAAAGTAAAGTTGGCAAGGACATTTGTTTAATTGTTTAACATATATGTAATTGCACATACTAGTACTGCATATTTAATTGTACATACTGTATATTTAATTGTATATATGTGTGCATATTTATATTTAATTTCAACCTTCTCTCCACTTCTAGACTTTGTCCCTTTTACCCTGCCTTACTCTTTTGATAATACTTATCACCTTCTACCATAGCATATAATTGGTTTGTTGATTTTTGAACATATATTTTTATTGATCTCAGAGAGAAAGGGAGAGACAGAAACATCAATGATGAGAGAATCATTGATTGGCTGCCTCCTGAACGCCCCCTACTGGGGATGGAGCCTGCAACTGAGGTACGTGCCCTTGACTGGAATCGAACTTGGGACCCTTCAGTCTGCAGGCTGACACTCTATCCACTGAGCCAAACTGGCTAGGACTGGTTTGTTGATTATTGATCTTTCTGATTTTTCTCCCTCTACTAGAATGTAAGCTTACTGAAAACTAGGATTTTTATAAAAACAGAGGCATCGATAAATGGAACAGCTGTCAGAAGGGAGCGGGTTTGGGGGACTGGATGAAAGAAGGTGGAGGAATTAACCAAAAAACATATACACATAACACATAGACACAGATGACAGCGTGGTGATAGCCAGAGGACAAGGGTGCATGAACAGAAAGAGACTTTGCTTGGGGTGGTAGGTGCACAATGCAGTTTGCAGATGATGTTTTATTGAGTTGTACACTTTAAACCTGCTTGGTTTTGTGAACAATGTCACACCAATAAATTCAATTTTTAAAAACAGGAGGATTTTAAGGAATTTTTGTCTCTTTTGTTTATTTTTAGTGTTTTTTCTTCTCTTAATTCTGTTATGTTCTTCTTGTAGAGAAAGTCATGCTTCCATCATTAGCAATTGCTCATTTTACACTGAATAAAAAAACAGCATGTCCAACAAACTAAATTAGCTACGACTAAGTTATATTTGAAAAGCCTGCTCTGAAAACTCATATTTCGTGTGAATTGAAAAGCATTAATCTCCTTTGTTTATTAAAGTATCCCAAGTAGCTCAACCTGGCACATAATAGGTGCTCAATAAATATATGTTGAATGAATATCATGTTAGAGAGTTTGGCCTTTCTTCTATGGACAAGAGTGAAAACGGGAAAGTTTGTTTTTGTCTGTGTTTTTAATTATACCTGCATCTTTGTAAACAGGGAAGTAGGTATCAAATATGAGTTTAACCATATAACGGAGAGCAATATGGAACTGTAGAAGCTGTGTGAAAGATGGATGGGAGTGCAAGAGACCAGGCAGGAAGATTATAAAGTTGCTTCCAAAGCCAGGAAAAAAGGCTTTGATGATTTGAATTGAGACAGGTCGATTTAGAAGCAAACACTCCCCTGAGATGTAACAGCACCAGTCATTCAGAAAAGAAACTATACTATCCGTGGCCAGACAATTACCCCGTGCCCTCCCCTTATTTCTCACTTTTACAGTTATCATTAAAGGTATATTTTAGCAAGATCCATCATAATTGTTTTTTCTTTCAACTCCAAGAGTCTATTATATCTAGTCTATTGTATTTTAAGGATGTGACAAAAGCTGATTGCCTTTTATTTTATACTAGAGGCCCGGTGCACAAAAATTTGTGCACTCGGGGGGAAGGGGGGGGTCCCTCAGCCCGGCCTGTGCCCTCTCGCAGTCTGGGACCCCTCGGCAGATAACGACCTGCTGGCTTAGACCTGCTCCCGCGTGGCAGAGGGCAGGCCCAATCCCTAGGTGCAGCCCCTGGTCGGGCTCAGAGCAGGGCCAGTTGGGGAGTTGGGGCACCTTCCCCTGTCATGCACAGAGCAGGGCGGATCGGGAGGTTGCGATGCCACCCTCAGTCATGCTCAGGGTAGGGCCAATTGGGGGGTTGGGGCACCGCCCCCTGTCACACTCAAGGCAGGGTTGATGGGGAGGTTGCGGCTCCACCCCCTGTCACGCACAGAGCAGGGTCTATCAGGGGGTTGGGGAGCTCCCCCCTGTCATGCACAGAGCAGGGCCGATAGGGGAGTTGGGGCACGGCCCCCGTCACACTCAGGGCAGGGCAGATCAGGGGGTTGGGGCGCCGCCACTCTCACACTCAGGGCAGGGCCGATGGGGAGGTTATGGCTCTACCCCATCACACACAGAGCAGGGCCCATAGGGGGTGGGAGGGGGGGTTGGGGGGCCGCACCCTGTCACACACAGAGCAGGGTGGATAGGGAGGTTGTGGCCCCGCCCTCTGTCACACACAGAGCTGCAGGGCGATCAGGGGGTTTGGGCGCTGCCCCCTGTCACGCTGATCCCGGTGCCGGGAGGCCTCTCAGCTCTGCTGATCCCAGTGCTGGGAGGCATATTACCCTTTTACTATATAGAATAGAGGCCTGGTGCATGGGTGGGGGCTGGCTGGTTTGCCCTGAAGGGTGTCCTGGATCAGGGTGGGGGTCCCCACTGGGGTGCCTGGCCAGCCTGGATGAGGGGATGATGGCTGTTTGCAGCTGGTCACACACCCTTCAGGGTGGGGGTCCCCACTGGGGTGCCTGGCCAGTCTGGGTGAGGGGCTGAGGGCTGTTTTCAGGCTGGGACTGAAGCTCCCAACTGCTTCTTTTTTTCTTTTTTCTTTTTTATTCTGGACCAGCTTTAGCTCTGAGGCTCCAGCTCTGAGGCCTCGGCTGCTGAAAGCAGGTATCTGGTTTGTTTCGGTTCTATAATTGAAACTCTGTATCAACTCCAGTTCTGAGATCCCAGTGGCTGAAAGCTGGTTTCTGGGGTTTTGTTTAGCGTCTATATTTGTTACAATGTTTGAAACTGCAGGCTCAGAGGCCGGCAAGGCAGGCGGGGAACCTTGCAGTCCTCCGTCACTGAAGCAAGCAAGCCTCATGTTAGTTTCAAGCTGCCTGGCTGCCGGCCGCCATCTTCGCTGGCAGTTAATTTGCATATTGAACTGATTAGCCAATGGGAAGGGTAGCGGTCGTACGTCAATTACCATGTTTCTCTTTTATTAGACAGGATGATTATTGATAACCTGATTATTTTTACCTAAATTACCTAGAAATATAGAGGTAGAAATATAGAGTATATGACATACATTAAATTTATAAGAAAAACTCATTTTTGATAAATCATAGAGTTTATATATAGATATAGAGTACATAGGAATTATATAGAAAGAAATAGAGTATATGAAGGTAGTGTGTGTGTGTGTGTGTGTGTGTGTGTGTGTGTGTGTGTGTGTTAGTTTGCATGGTCTGAGAACCCCCGTCACTTATTTTTACAGCATTTGAGTTTATGCAGCATTTTCACATCCATTATCCTATTTGTGGTCATCCAAAGCAGGGCTTTGATGTCAGAGAGAGCTAGTCTCTAATCCGTATGTTGCTACTCACTAGCTGTGTGGCCTTGGTCAAGCTGACACATCACTCTTCAATTTCTTTTGATTTTCCTCAACTGTAAAAACAGGCAATAGCCCGGCTGGCGTGGGTCAGTGGTTGATCATCAACCTATGAACCAAGAGGTCATGATTCAATTCCCAGTCAGGGCACATGCCCGGGTTCAGGCTCGATTTCCAGTGTGAGAATCAATTATTTTGTCTCATCATTGTTGTTTCTCTCTCTTCCTCTTTCTCTCTCTCTCTGAAATCAATAAAAATATTTTTTTAAAAAAACAGAGGCAAGCCCTGACCGGTTTGGCTCAGTGGATAGAGCGTCGGCTTGCAGACTCAAGGGTCCCAGGTTAGATTCCAGTCAAAGGCATGTACCTTGGTTGCGAGCACATCCCCAGTTAGGGAGTGTGCAGGGGGCATCTGATAGATGTTTCTGACTCTCTATCCCTCTCCCTTCCTCTCTATAAGAAATCAATACAATATATTTTTTAAAAATTTGATAAAAAATAAAAACAGAGGCAATAAAAGAACCACATCACAGATTGCA